AATTAAAAGCACAGGGCTTTGAGGAATGCAAATCATTTTTTTTTGTTTTTAATTGGATACGCAGTACCTGAAAATCAGCTCTGAATTGTAACATACAAAACTCAATAAAACAAAGATATTATTTAATTTCAAATGCTTTTATTTGCTTTTAGTTGTTTTTTATGAATATGGACAATATTTTCTGAAAGCAAAAAAATTTTTTCGATGAAAAATGAATTTTAATACAATTATTTGTTATTTCATTAATTATAATAGATTTTACGTTTAAGTTGTTAAAATATTATAAAATTAGTTAAAGTTTGATCGGCTTTCATAAGTGTCCTTATGAGATAGATCTTTTTTTAGCGTTGTAAATTGTATCATTTTGACTAATCAGAAGATCCCCAGTAATTAAGAAATGTAATTTTGTGCTTATAATCGAGCTGTAATTATAAAATACGGAAGACCAACCAGAATATAATTAAGTTGCGTTATTTGAGTTAAGCATTGTTCTCCGCTGTTAAGGCCTTTACTTTTTGCGAAACATGTGTGGAGAAGTTAATTTGATTTTCAATTTCAACTGAGAAGGGTACCTACAAGTATCAGTATCATCTTATGAAATTTATATGATCTTATTTTTTATATTAATCTCAGTTACATTTTTCCATAAATAAAATATCAAAATTAATAATAAAATGAATGCAAATACAAATAACAGTAGAATGTAATAAATGTACATAAAATTATAGTATTTTATGTACACTTCTGATAAAATTTCATAAGAAAGCTACCTATAAATTAATTAGATACCTTTCTTAAGAAATATGAAATTTAATGTCACTCTTAACAGTTTTATTTTTATATTTTAAAATATATTTCCCATAAAGCATCATAAACGTAAAGGTGAAAGCTAAGTACAAAAAAAAAAAAAAAAAAAAAAATAGACCGCTGAAAGTTTTCGTTAAAAATAATGGGGTAAATAATTTGTTCACGTAAATGTAAATTATTTCACTTTTCTCCTTCCGTAGAACAAATTAGCCTCATGGAATTCGTAAATATATCATTCATCACATGTCAAGAGACGCGAAAGTTTATGACCTGCTTTTTTTATTTTCAAATTACATCTTTTTGGTTAAGTTTGGTTCAAAATATTTTAAATAAACATTATAATTTCTGATTTTCTTAAAATAAGTTTTGAAAAAATGATAATTGATATTTAAAAAAAATTTCAAAGATTTCCAGTTTTTTTTTAAATGGAAAAAAATGGTCAATTTTGCTGACTCAAAAAAACTAGATTTTTAACGAAAATTTCGGACGTGCTAGGAACGATTAAAAAATGGAAAAAAAATACCCCAAAAATACTTTGACCTTTCCTCTTAATAATAACAAACATTTAGACGATAAAATTTTGTTTTCGTCAAGTTTGGCGTCTTTTTCTTCATGCTATGCTCTTTTTTTAGCGATCTCGTGTAGGTACCTATACAGATTATAATTTCCAAAGCTTTTTACAAACTAACGAACAACAGTATATAAAAAAATATAATTTGTAACGCTGTATATCAAATCTACAGAAGACCGGAAGTAACATGCGTGTAATAAAAAAAAAAAAAGAAAAAACGTCACGTGGATTGAGTATTTAACTTACATACTGAATGTTTAATACAATTATTATTTGTTATTTCTTTAATTATAATAGATTTTTACATTTAAGTTGTTCAAATATTATAAAATTAGTTAAAAGCCGCATTCAGTTTCGTAAATGTCCTTTTGAGATATAGATTTATTTTTGTGAAACGTGTGGAGAAGTTAATTTGATTTTTCAATTTCAACTGAGAAGGGGACCTATGAAATATGATCTTATTTTTATATTATCTCAGTTATGACATTTTTCCATAAATGAAATATCAAAATTAATAATAAAATGAATGGAAATACAAATAACACAGTCAAATGTAATAAATGTACATAAAATTATAGTATTTTATGTACACCTCTGATAAAATTTCAAACGAAAGGTACCTAATTAGATACCTTTCTTATGAAATATGAAATTTAATCTCACTCTTAACAGTGTTATTTTAATTTCTTTATAAACTTTATAATATATTTTCCATAAAGCATCGTAAACGTAAGGATGAAAGCTAAATACAAAAAAAAAAAAATAACGAGGTAAATAATTTGTTTACTTAAAAATGTAAATTATTTCATTTTTTTCTTTCCGTACAACAAATTAGCCTCACGGAATCCGTCAATATGTCATTCATCACCAGTCTGAGTCAAGTGATGCAAAAGTTTATGACCTGCTTCATTTTATTTTCAAATTACATCTTTTCGGCGCAGAAGCTAAGTTAAGCTTTGTTCAAAATATTTTAAATAAACATAATTTCCGATTTTCTTAAAATAAGTTTTGAAAAAATGATAATTGATATTTAAAAGAATTTCAAAGTGAGATTTTCGTTCTTTTTATAAAATGGAAAAAAAATGGTCAATTTTGCTGACTCAAAAAAAAAAAAAAAAAAAAATTTTTTTAACGAAAATTTCGGACGTGCTAGGAACGATTAAAAAATGTAAAAAAAATACCCCCAAAATACTTTGATCTTTCAATAATAACAAACATTTAGAGGATAAAATTTTGTTTTCGCCAAGTTTGGCGTCTTTTTCATCCTGCTATCCTCTGTTTTTTTTTAGCGATCTCATGAAGGTACAGAAAACAAAAAATAATAATGCGTTCACTTAGATTTCGTTAATTTAAGTCAATTCTAGTCATCCATACTAGCTGTCATCACCTCGTAACTTATCGATATGTCAATAAAGATAGCAAAAAAAGAACCCGTCGTTAAGAAATGTTTGTATTACTTTCTTATTCTATAAGTAAGCAATGTTTATTTCAAATTAGATAAACTTTAAATTTGCTAATTTTATTTAACGTGTCACAAATACTTTATTTCTGGAAGATTTTTAAAACCGATTTTCTGAAATGGGCCAAAAAGTTGAGATTCTGATGTATTTGAAATATATACCAAAATCTTTTACTTACTGGAAATAGTCAATAATTTAATCATTTAGCTTTCAATTAAAAAAAAAAAAAAAAAAATCTTCAAGAATGCTTTTTCATTTTTTTTAAATTCAATGGAGAATGTCTAATTTGAATAAAATAGTAGCTCCGATCAAGATCAAACAAGTTGTTAAAAGAAAAAAAAGTTTCCAAAGTTCTTAACTAAAAATATTTTCACAGAATGCGGCATACCTCCCCCCGCCTGTATTATTGAAAAATATATGGAATTAAAAAATGGGATAGCTGTAAGCGAAATTTGAAAATAAGTAGTAGATTATACTGCAAATTTTACTTAAAATGCGAAAACCTGTGAAAATAAGAGTTGAAAATTACTGTTTGGAGATATTAGTTTCAATATTTTTTTAAATTGTAGAATTTCATTAAAGATTTATTATTCATGTGGCATGTAGACGCAAATAGTACAAAAAAACAAAAAAAAAAACCCCAAAAAACATCCTTTTAAAAAGTGAGCAGTAGAAAATGTTAAATAAATTACAGCTTGTAGCAGCAAGTTACACTATGACTCTTTGTCTTTAGGCTATGTTTTAAAATGAAAATATGTTTATTAATCTAACTAAAAACGCTCTTAATCCCAGAATAAAATTCAAAGGTTTGCCGAGAGGTCGTACTTTTAGGTTTAAAAAATTCTGGTGTTTTTCAAAAGGATCAACGTTTACTGGTTGATCCGTTTGACAAAAAACACCAGAAATGTACTCTTCAAAAACCAAATTTAACTAGGTAAAAATGCGATTTTTTCAACCAGTAAATAAATATGAACATCTTAGTTTTTTTGTTTTCTTTTTTTACATAAAAAAAAAAGATACTAAGTAACATTTCAGTAGGTTTACTAATTGTTTCCAAATAAATGAAATTTTTTATTTAAGTAAAAATATCTAACAAATTTTTAATTCTGGATCGAATGTCAAAATAAGGTAAACTTGATTTTTGAAAAAAAAATCGGTAAATTAGCACTTACATGAACATTTAGACTTGAAAGGCGCGAATAGTAATGAAAAAAATAAGGTCCTTAAAAAGATTGAATTTTTAAAAATATCTCAAGAATTCTCAAGTTTACGCATCTTCGAATAAGAAAATCATGAAAGCAATCAGCGTATTTAACAAAAAAATCAGAGCTAAAATGAATACTAATTGGCATAAAGGTGTTAGATTTCAGACAAAACAAATTTGCTGCATTACATTTTCTGTTACCTGCTTGCGCTTTCCTCTCATCGTCTTTAACCGACTTGATATTGTCGCCCCTCGAGTTAAAGGTCTTGTTGATGTGAGACTTAGTAGACTCTTTTCGTTCGACACTTTTGCTCGGTTCATCCAGATGACTATTTGGAAACGAAGGAGAAACACAGGACGAAGAGGATGATGCAGAAGAGGAGGAAGATGAAGCAGGTATTCCTGTTGTGGCTGTGGTCATTGTCCCAACCATGACATTTTTAGTCAACGGCGATGGTGACGATACATTAATCTTGTTACTAGTACCACAACCATCGGGTGGGCTAGAACTTCGAGTTTCTTTCACATTGTTGATGTCTTTATCAGCAATGCTAGCTAAGCACTTTGCGACAATAGAGTCTTCGTTAAAAGGAGACCTGGAGTTTTCTCCTGTAGATTTACTGTTCATCACACGGTTCTGAAACTTAGTTACCATTCCTAATAACCTACATGTTAACATCCGCCATTAACGACCTTTGCGGAAATAGTGTTTTATGAAAAGTAAGCGGAAAACGGAAGTCGCAGAAAATATATAGAAGAAAATACTAAATTATTATTTTTAAATAAGTTATAACAATAACATCCTTTTAAAGGAACTAAAATTGTTTATTTTAAATTAAAAATTTAAATTTATATTCATATTTAAATGTAGTTAATATTTCCAAATGATTTTTTAAAAATTTTGTCTGCAGTACTGACATGTTTACGTTCAGTGCGAGACTGTTCATTAATAATTATCATGGCTTTCTTAAAGGAAGCGTTTATACTGTGTAGACTACCAAGCGAAGAAGAATTGGTTGGTGTTTGTGATGGCAATAAAGAAGATCAAGTTATTGTCTCATGCAAATCTAAGGGTATCAGTATAATAAAGGTAATTATATTTCGATATTTAAGCCAAATATCATCGGTCTATGTGTATCGTGCTGAATAGCACGTGGGGATTTTTGTTGCGTCTGCGAGTTTGTGACAAATTCTTGCTAAAAGTGACACCTATCAATTTTATAAATTTTTAATTACTAATGTGGTAAAAAGAGATTGGAATCACGGCTGCTACAACTAATTTAGAGAGTGACTTGGATATAGCACACACACACGTTACTCATCAGTGTGTTCCACTTCTCGTAACCGTTTTTAAGTTGGGGGAAAAAAAAAAAAAAGACATGAGTTTTTATTTATGCGAATCGGTTATCGTGCTTACAAGTCGTTTATTAGAAGCAGATATCAATACATACATTAATCGGAGAGAAAAAAAATATTAAATTAGCTTGAATTTTCCTTTTCCTGTTTCTCAGAAGAAGCAAACGGAGGGAAAGAAGTGAAATCTGCGAATAGAATTGTATTCTAAAGAAAAATATTGTTCAAAAGTGAGGGAAGTGGATTTGCCAAAGATCTCTTCTGTTTTTTTTTGTTTTGTTTTATTTTGTTTCTTCCATTTAGATGGATGCACTTCATTTTTTTTTTTTTTTTTTTAACTAGTATTGAAAATTTTAGGTTCTTCATGGGTAATTTGCTTTTTAAGCCCCGTGCTAAGTATATAATAAAAATTTCCGAATAATTAGATTTAGATGTAAATTTATATGCTTAATTCGAAAATAACAAAGAAATGTTGATGTAATCTACCGTTTTGAAGTTATCGACAATAAAAGTTCGGACTCATTCGCGTTCATCCGTCCGCCATTACTGGCGTTGTTTATTCACCTCGGAACACTTTTGGGCTGAACCTTAATTAACGGCCTTTTTCCTAAATTAACTCGTTTCATTTACTGCGCAAAAAAGTGAAGCTTGTATTGAGTTTTTATTTGGAAAATTCGTTTAAGTTGTGTAGAAAACATTGACAATTGTTTTGTTTTTCTTATAGTAAAGTTACTCGGAAGTGCTCTGCACTTACTTAGTAAAAACAATGCCTGTAATAGCGGACGAATTACTCAGAATTAGTCCAATTTAGGTAGGGAAGTCTGCTAATTCGCTAAAAAAAAACGCATACCCTGATGAAAAAAATCTGGCGACAACTTACGTCAGGGGAATTTATTGAACAGTAGGGCAAAAGTGATATAAATCGATAACCTTATGTTTTGACAGAGAATTCTAGAATAAAAATAACATTTATGAAAAAATATATTTATAATTCAAATTTTATAAGACAAAAATTTTGCAACAATATTGTTATCTACACATAAAATTTTATGTTTGTTTTTTAATTAAGTTTTATCTCAGCACAGCTGTTTTTTGAGGGTTCCTAGCCCCACTAAACTTAGTCAGTTCAGGTTTGATATAGTTAAAGGTTTGTTTTGTTTTTTAACACCTACTGACCCGGGTGATGACAACCACACTTTAACAGATGACATTGTTTTTTTTATTTTGCCATGTCTTTCATATGATAAAAACAAGCATTTTAAATAGCTCTTTTAGTTATGAAATATTTTCCTGAGAATTTTTCCCCAAAGACCCCTTTTTTGTTGTTTCCGTCCCTAAAATTGAATTAATAAAAAAAAAATAATTAATATTTGCAGTATGTCTCACTGAAAAAGAAATTGATTATATGTAAAAAAAAAAAAAAATTAGAAGAAAAGTTTTGACAATGAGAATTTGACACGTGCATCCAGATCGAAAAGCTATGCCAAGATTGATAAATTTCACTCAATCCAAGGGAATAACTCTCTCTAACATGATTTTTTTTTTTTTTTTTTTTTTTTAGAAATGGGCATCCATAGTTTTGTCGGAGATGATTTTAATACATTTTTTGAAATCATAAAAAATTATCTTAAAATATGCTGCGAGTAACAGATTATAATAAGGTTTCTAATTTATGATCTATAAAAATAGATCTTTTTAATGAGCGAAAAACATGAGGGGCAACTGTTCTAATTTATGAAATATTTATCAATATTATCCATTTTTTTATTTAGAAATGAAAAAAAAAAAGAAACAATTCTCGTAAAAATTTATTTTTCAACCGAAAAAAATTTTGACTTCAGTCCTTAATACTATTAATATTTTATATTAAAATTTTATTTAATATTAATATTATTAATAAAATCTATTAAAAGCTGTTTTCATAAAATAATGTCTTAGTTTTCTTGCATTTTTGTATTTTAAATTCAGAGCTAAAATTGGGGTTCTTGTGAGTCAAAATTTTACACAAAATTTATAAAAAAATAAAAATAGGGGCAACTGTTCTAGTTTTAAAGTTTTCATAAAATTAAGTAAGGCGGGGGGGGTATTAGACATAAAAAAAAAAAATACTTTTACCATAATTTTCTAAAAGACAAACATTTCTAAAATAGATTCATTCATTTCAGAATAAGTTCTGAAAGTTTCACTAAATTGTGACAATTATTTGATTTTTGCAATAATTTCCAAATTAATGTGTTTTTTAAGTGAAAAAAAGCTAATGCACATTATGAGGTGACCTTTGAGCTTAAAAAAAAAAAAAAAAAAAGCACATTCAAACATGCTAAAAAGGAATGAAAATTTCAAAAAATAATTAAAAAATACTTTGGTCTCTCCTCTTATTAATAACAAAGTTTTTCACAATAAAACGTTGTTTTTATTAAGTTTGGGTCCTTTTTTTATTAGGATATGCCACTTTTTTAGCGAAGTAGCAGACATCCATAAATTTAGGTAGGTTTTTCCCATAATTGTTAATTTGAGTTCAGCATGTACATTTACACAGAAATATGATTTTGGAAAATTTTTATTGATATTTAGCGCAGGGCTTAAAAAGCAAATTTACCAGAAAAGCTTTATTTTATTATTTGATTTTTTTTTTTTTTTTTTTTTTTAATTTAAAAAGAAAGCTTTACTATAAAAAAAAAAGTTGAAAAAAAATAACACTTGACACAACTTAAGTGCGCAGTAATTTAGATGAGTAAGAGCAGTAAAAAGACCATTAATTAAGCTTCCACATACAAAATGTTCCGCAGTGCATGTAGTTAAACAAAGCCCGTAATGGCAAATGAATGAATGCGACTGAGTTCGAATTTTTGTCATTAACTACAAAACATTAGGTTTTATCAAAATTTGGTCATTATTTTCGAGTGCAGCATATACATTTACACGGAAATATGACAATTTGGGAAATTTTTAATAGATTTTCTGTGCGAGGCTTAAAATGCAAATTTACTGCTTTCTTTTAAATTAAAAATAAAACATAATAATTAATGCACAATCTTTGCAAAGGGCATAATTACTACCCCTAACCCCAACAATAATTAATGCACAAACTTTGCATGAACTTTGAAAAGAGCATGATTAATAACCCTAACCATTAGGGATAGGGGTTAGTAATCCTGCTCTTTTCAAAGAGGTTTCCCCTAACCCTAACGGTTAGGGCCAGTAATCATGCTTGTGCAAAGTTTGCATATTAATTATTGTTTTATTTTTAATTTAAAAGAAAAGCTTCCCTTTTTTCTTTTTTTTTTTTTTTTTTTTTTTTTTATTTAAAAAAGCTTTATTTACCACTTGTTGCTTTCTGGCAGTGTGCAGTAATTTACATGAGTAAGTTCAGTAAAAAGACCGTTGATTATGCTACTGCGAGCAGAGTGTTCCGTAATGAATGTAGTTAAACAAGGCCTGTAATGGTGGATGAATGAATGTGACTGAGTCCAAAATTTTATTGTTGATAACTACAAAACAGTAGGTTTTATCAAAATTTGGTCATTATTTTCAAGTTCAGCATGAACATTTACAAGGAAATATGACAATTTGGGAAATTTTTAATAGATTTTCTGTGCAAGACTTAAAAAGCAAATTTACTGTTTTTGGGGGTTTTTTTTATTAAAAAAATTAAATAAGATAAAGCTTTTCTTAATAATAAAACAATAATTAATGCACAAACTTTGCAAGCAGCATGGTTATTTACAAAATAAAAAATGCTAGAAAGGAAATATTAACTGGAACAAATTTAAGTTTCAAATATATATTTTTTTTTTATTAAATTTTGGAGTTTTAAAAAGCATGATTATTTACAAAATAAATTTGTAGTCTTAAAGAGTGTGATTATTTACAAAATAGCAATTTTATTTGGGTCCTAGGTACATCTTGTTTGCTTCAGTCAGGAACCTGTGAAGGTGCTGAGTATGGTGAGGAATTGCTTTCAAAAACAAGAAATGAGCTTTAAAAAAAAGTTTTGTGTCCAGGTCAGATGACAATATCCTTCATAGTCTTCCACAGACTTTCCACTGTTTGGGTGTGGATATTCCGGTCTACAAAAATGTTTGCTATGGTTGATCTGTTTGTGCGTGTATCCGTGTTCTGGTATTCACACATACACCAACCAGCAGTCACTGTAAATAATAGATCCTGGTCGGATATGGCATATTATTAGTGGAATAAGTGTGTTTGCATCCCTGGATTCTCCTTCTTTGCAATCTACTGTTAATGGAACCAAAATGCCAAACCATTTTCAATCTATGTCCCCGATTATATTTACATTTGGAGATAACGGTCTCATCAATTTCTACCTCAACACCTGGTCCACCAAACTTTTCCTGCACATGTTCTAACTAAAATTGGCATTTTATTTGCAGAAGTGCCAATTGACTGAAGTGGGTTTTGCAATGTCCAAGTTTTCAAACAATCCTGTGACTCCAGCTTCGATCAAGGAAATGGATTACAAAATAAGTACTTTCTACGCAGGCAAGCAGGACTTCTCCAAAAGTGTATTATGTTTGAAAACTTGGACATTGCAAAACACACTTCAGTCAGTTGGCACTCCTTCTGCAGTGATGTTTGCCAATTGATAGGATTAAAATTTAGGCTTCAAATGGATGAAAATGGTTGTAATATTACAATTTTTGGGTTACAGACAAGATATTAGCTATGAATTGCCTCAGAATACCATCAAAATAGATGAAAACATAAAATTTTTTA